TCCTCTGACAACTGGTGCCCAACCCCAGAAGCCCCTCGGCCTTCCTAAAGCATGAGAAGCCTGGATGTGGGAAGTGACCCCACCATCTGCCACCCCACAAGCCAAATTCCTGCACCAGAGATGTGGCTGCGCGCCTGGACTGGACGCAGGAATGTGCCCGGTCAGCAGGCCAGCCCTGGGGGCGGGCTCAGGGGCCCAGGACCCAAGAGGGCGCCAGAGAAGACCCTGTGCGACCCCCGGTTCCCAGGCTCCCCTTGGTACCCCAGCCCTCTCTCCTCCTGACGGCAGAGCAGCACAGGCCTGAGGGGCATCCGGGAGACCGGAGAATGGGTGTGCAGGGACCCAGAGGAGCCACTCCCGCCTCAGCCTCCCTGCCCTGCTTGGCCCTCTGGGGCCAGTTCTGTGCAAGGGGAGGTTATGTGTTGATCTGGGGGCCTTATCATGGTGCCCTGTTCCCTCTGAGGCCCCCAGACCCGTCCCCTTCGGGGTGGGGCGTCCCTCCTCCCACCCCACCCCGGGCTTGAGCTGAGACAGGCAGCGCAGCCCTGAACACAAACTCACTCAGCCCCACTGGTTGCTTTTGCCTCCTGACCCCCACCCACCCGAACTCACTCTGCAGAAGCACAAGTTTCCAGAGCAGGACCTGGGCCCGCAGCTCCATGGCGCCCGCCTGGCCCTCTGGCCGCTTTGTCTCGCTCAGGCTCTAACTCTCCAGAAAAACAGCCCGCCCCCCTCCCCCTCCTCAGAACCCGCCATGACATCACGGAGCCCTGCAGACCGACCGCCCTCTTCGCTCCTGCCCAGCCTCTTGGCCTCCCCAGATCCTTAGCTGGCCTAGTGGGAGGGGTAGGGCCTTGGCCACTATGCCCCAGACGGTGAGGGGAGTCAGAGCAGAGACTTGGCTCCCCCTCTGGCTCAGGTCCTGAAGAACGGGGCAGTAGCTCAGCCCTCGGAGGGGCAGGAGGGCCCCAAAGCCTGAAGGCATGGCCCTGGATACCCTGTAGATGTCTGTGACACACAGGGCCCCTCTGGGGCCACTGCAGGCCTGGGGTTCTGGGGTGAGCACCCCTCGCCCCCTCCTCTGTAGGGGGACATTGGCCCAAGGCATCCCTCCACTGGGGGCCAGAAGAAAGGCATCCTGAGGTCGGACCCCCAAGGAGCCCAGGCTGCCACGTGATGACCCGCGCAGGCCCGTCTCCTCTGGGGGCTGCATTTCCTCATCTGTGTAGTGGGGATAAGAGTAGCACCAGCCCTGGGGAGGTACAGGGGGGCTCCCTCCAGACAACAGGATGGGCATTGCTGTCTACGTCAACTGCACCATCCAGAGAGCTAGCCGGGGAGATGAGGGGTGGGGACCCTGAGCACTGAGTGGGGCCAGCCCAGTGCCCCTCTGTCCTGGTGCCCCTGCCCCCATCTGCTCACTATCAGGGGCACAGCATGGTGCCCATGAAACCCCGTCCAGACCTGGGTGCCCTGCTCCCAGGAGCACCCCCACTGCTCCCAGGAAGGGAAGGAAGGGGTGGGGTATGGGAGCCTTCCCAACAGAAGGCACAAATTTGAAGCTCTGGGAAAACTTACAGAGTCACATAAACAAATGTGAAATCACAGACCTCGCACTGTGTACCAAACCCACTCTCTCTAGTTAAGCAAACCTCGAAAAAAGAAAAAGAAAAGAAAAACTCCACCACATCACCACAGAAAGCCACAATGCATTTTTCAGACTGCCCATTTGGACTGAATTATTGTCACAGGTCCCAGGCCCTGGTGGGCCGGATTCTCATTCTTGAACCCTGCCCTGGTCCCCAAGTCCTCAGAAGAGCGAGCGAGGAGCCCAGCCCAGCCAGACTCTCTGGCTCCAGGGAAGGGGAGGAGGCTGCTGCTGCAGTAGGAGGGAGTGAGGGGTGATAACAGGTAGGACCAGCTGGGAGAACACCCCACCCCCAACCTAACGGACCTATTTCCCTCTGCAAGATCCAGGCCCTGGGAGGCGGAGCCCTTTCCAAACTGGAATCAGGGCTCATCTCCCCACCCCACTCTAGCTCCTCCCTGGGCCTTTCATTCTGGAAAAACAAGCCCTGCCTGGCTGGCCTTGAGGCCTGGCCTCTCCCCCTGTTTTCCTAACTGGTTTACATTAGCACTGCAGCCTCCCTCCCAGCCTTCCTCTGCGCCCCCACCCATGTCTGCCTCTCTCCTTTGGTCTCTACTGCGCTGGCCTCCACCTCTGCCCTCTGTTCCTGCCTCTGGCTGCCAGGCTGTCTCTCCTTCGTGGAGGGAAGATGTCCAAGCAGGGCTGGAGGGAGGCAGAGATGAACCAGGTCCGGCCCCGCAGCCTGGGAGGGGACAGGGTCCGCTCCCCGCCTGGTCCACACCCTAAACTCCCTCTCCCAGTAGGTTCCCTGGCCTCAGGCCCTGTGCTGAGGCCTGGTGGCGCCCCTGTGCTGCAGATCCAGCCCTCAGCTCAGCCCAAAAGCAGAAGTCTGAAGGAGGACCCCCACCCCCTTGCACCACTGCAGTAGAATGCTGCAACCCCTCTTCCCTGCCCCGTCCTCTCCCTGCTTGAGCCCACCTCCCCAGTCCTTGGCAGGAAGTAGTCACAGATGGAAGCAGAGCCCAAGAGAGAACAGATCGGAACTGAACAGCCACCAACATCACTGTGGTCCCCCTGAGTTCCAGGCCAGCCCCAGCCAGACCAGAGCCAGACCCACATCCCCTCTCCTAGGAGTAGAGGCTGGACAGGACGAGGAGGGGCAGCCAGCCCAACTGAGCCTGAGAATCAGAGTCTGGCTCCAATCCTGGGGACTCGGACATTCCAGGCAGCCAGGCTCATGGGGAGGAAAAACCACAGGCACTCAAGAGCACAACCTGACACACAGACACGTGCTCACATGTGCTGTTCAACATTCAGCAAACACTTCCTGTGCACCCACTGTGTGCCATGCACTGGGAGTCAGCCCCGAACTGGATGCCAAGCTCCTGCCCTCTTTGGGCTGTTAGAGGAGGCCTGCTCACAGATAAATGGCATCATCTGAAACGCGAGACTCACAGGGACAGCTTCCTAGGGAGCGACCCCACAAGTGGACAGCCAGGCCAGCGCCCAGGAAGCTGCCTGTAGGGGGAGGGAGGGTGGGGCTTGGCGCACAGGTCTGCAGGGCTGTGGCCTGGCTCTCATTCACACCCGGCAGGATGAGGCCTGAGGGGTTTACAATCAGGAGAGATGTGGTCTGGTGATGCAGGAAATGCCAAGATAGTTTGTTTAGAGCTGCCAGGATTTACAGGAACATACCAGGAAAATGACCCTCCAAGGGCCAGGTGGTGGACAGAACTCCAAGGTCCTCCCCTAGAGTGGCGGGAGGGGAGACTGTGGTGGGGTAGTCCTTTGCACCCACACAACAGAGGTGCGGGGCTGTCACTCGCAGAGACCGAGTTTCCCTCATAGCCGAGTAGTCAGCTTCTCCCACCAGCCATGCGGTGAAAGGGCTCATGGAGGCGACTGTGTGGCCAAAACCTGAGGCTGCAGCCCCACCCACTTCATTCATCAAGAAGAAAACGGCCCTTGGTCCTATAACTGCGAGGAACGGGTTCTGCCAGCCACCCAGCTGGGCCTGGAAGAGGACCGCAGGTGAGGACACAGCCCTGGCTGACACGGGTCTGACCCCGTGAGACCCTGGGTGGAGCTCCCGGTAAACGCACGTCCAGAGCCTGACCCATGGAAGCTGTGTGGTAACGAGCCTGCTGTGTGAAGCTGCTAAATTTGTGTTGACTTTTCATGCTGCCAACAGGAGACAGACACAACTGCTTCCCAGGACAAAGCAAGGGCAGGACTTAAAAAGACAAAAGCACAAGTCTTACAAGGAAAGGGACTGGTGTCTCAGCTGAGGATTGGCTTGTGGGCAGACTGCTGAGTCACAGCTCCCCTCAGGTTTCTCCAGAACCGTGCCGATCCACTGTCACTGTGAGGCGGAGGCCAGAGGGCGGAGCTGCCCCACAGACCAGAGCACCCGCGATCCACCCTCACACTGCTGTCTTCCCAGAGGTGGTCACTTGCGCATGTGTTAGTCCTTCTTCGGGAGTCCTGGTGGTCTGCTACGGCACTGTCTCACTCCATGGGCCAGGGGACTCCAGATCCCATGTCTGATGGTCTGTGCGTCCCGAGGGGGCTCTCAGCCCTGCTGGTGGAGGCCCACAAGTCAGATGACACGCTGAGATGGGGCTGAGAGACCACTGATGCATCGAGACAGTGATTTGAAAATACAGACAAGAACACTTGGAAACACAGAAGCATTATTTCATGGACCAGGCAACCCCTTCACCCTGAGAAACCATCAAGAACCCAAGACCAAGGATTTTAGCAGTCATGGTCAAACCCTCGGCAAGCGGTTTCCTGCGTGGTGTCTTTGACGGGAACAGGCACACCTCACTTTACTGCGCTTCACAGATGATGCATTTTTACAAACTGAAGGTCTGTGGTGACCCTGCGTCAGGCAAGCCCACCAGTGCCGTTTTCCCAACAGCACTTGCTCACCCCGTGCTTCTGTGTCACATTTTGGTAATTCTCACATTTTTAACCCTCCACCAGCAAGAAAGGCATGACTCACTGAAGGCCCAGATGATGGTTCGCATTTTTTAGAGATAACAAATTTTTTAACTAATGCATGTGCACTTTTTAGACATAATGCTGTTATGCACTTAATAGATTATGGTATAAATGTGGCTTTTACATAGGCCGGGAAACCACAGAATCTGTGTGCCTCGTTTTGTCATGGCATTCACTTTACTGCAGTGGCCGGAGCCTGACCCGTGGCGCCCTGCAGCCCACCTGTGCTCTCCCCACTGGCCTGTTCTGTTTGAGAAGGTGCGGGGAGGCCAGCCAACCAACGTGCAGACACTGCTCACGTTGCTCATGAACTGGAGCCAGACCCCGGGTGGCAAGGTGGCTTCTGCATTTCCATCTTTCCCGTCACGCCAGGAAGATCTCCTCATCATCCTTATCGCTTCATCATTTCTGTAGCCAGGAGTCAGGAACCATCGATTTACTTCCATCAGATGTGAGTCACCTCACCCACAAGATGCCCGTGTCCACCGACTTTCTGGTGAGTCGGTAAGGGATGGTGTTTTCATTTGAGCTGACAGAGTTGCTTCCCCGAGGCTGTGGTTTATCCGCTCTGACACTCTATACAGGAACACGGAACTGAGCGATTACACGAGAGGGTAAGAAGAGGGGCTGGGAAGACCCACGTGGCCCTGGGCAACAGCTGGGGACAATGAGACGAACTCGTGTTAGCAGACACAAACACAGGCGCGTGAAAACGGCGGTGGATGTGCTGATGCAGGGCCACCTCTGTTGTCTGCGAAGGCCCGCAGCAGTGAGCGTGCCCAGCTCCAGACCTTGGTTTCTAAGATCGTTTTCCAACAAAGGAACCAGGGCTCCTTGGAGAAATGGCTGCCTTTAGGGCTGGGAGGAAACATACTAAATAAACCTGGAGAGCCTGTACTGCTGGAAAGGAAGTGTTGGGAAAAAAGAAAAAAGAACTAGGGGGTGGGGGCCCAGGGCCAAGAGCTGGAGCCAGGGGTGCTGGACTGTAACCTGAAATGGAAAGTCACACTCCCAGAAATAAGTGGCTGCTCACGTAAATGGAATTCTTCATGCAGGAGAATTCCAAATGATTTACAGAGAAAAAGCAGGAGCATGGCTCCCCTCATGGAAGGCGCAGGAGGGTCCCTGGCTGCCCAGGTCCTGGGGCACATGGTGCTGCTGGGGTGGCTCACGGGGGCTGACGAGCCCCATGGCTTCACTTCAGCAACTGGGGGTCGGGGCGGCCACTACCCAGGGTCTTCTGTCCACGCGGCCTCTTCCCACCACGTGACCTGTCGCTTGGCCGCCTACGCCAGGCTTCCTTCCACTGATAGAAGCTGCCAGAACCCTTGCGGCCAGAGCTTGGAAGCATCTGCCTCTTTCTACTGGTAAGAGCAGGTCACAGCCAGACCCAAGGGAGCCCTGGGGGAGGAGCAGCAAGATCGCACAGTGAGGGCCAGGCGGGGGGGGGGGGGGTGCTGTAATCCCTGCACAGGTGCACCTCGGCGACAGGTGCACAAATGACATGCAGACAATTCAGAGCTCCATCTGGGTTACAGGAGTAAATCCTATACAAAAGAGATCAGTTATTTTAGTGAAATATAAACATTTTAAAAATATATGTTTAAACATAAACATATACATTTATATGATTTTAAGTATTTTGGGGGAAAAAAATAACTTACCTGAGACATAAAACCAAACCAGGAAATTTAGGAAAGTTAAGTAAGCTTTGCATAAGTAAATAAACCTGATTCTTCCCAAACCCATGATACTATCCTCCATTGTCTCACACGGTTCATGACGTCAGGGGAAAGACACAGCCGTTCAAGGCAGAATTAGGAAGGCGTCTAATTTGTCCAGGGTCATCTTGATGAAAAATATCACTTAGCCTTTTTCTCATACAACTTTGTAAAACTCCACATTTCCCATCCCAGCAGTTAGACGATATTAATGCTTCTATGAAGTGAAGTCTCCTTGGTGACGTTGGCTTCTTATCCCGTGACAACCATTGTTCCAGCTTTTCTTTTTTTTTTGGCTGTGGATTCTGCAAGAAAGTAACTTTTTTCAAAAGGTGAACACTTCTAAGGCAGAAGTTCAGTTTCCTTTTTCTTCATGGAATTTGCATGTTCTCCATTTTAAATCTAAGCAAGAGCCTTTCGGTGTAGGTAGGCTAGTCAGAACGGGAGCTTCATAATCATATGCAACATTTTGGTTTCCAGGAAGACAGGGAGTTCCACTGACATGCTCAGAGAATGTTCCCGGTCATACAACCCAAGAATCTAATCACATTCTCGGCAAGTGAGAGACCCTGGGACTTGGTCTCTGCACCCTCCACGGCTGCCCAGTGGACTTCAATACAATTGTGTTTCAACCCAGTGCAGTGAAAGGTTCACCCCTGGGAAGCTCACATTGTCCCACCTTCGGAAAGCGAAACTTCCAAGCGGGCCCGAGCCCTGCGAGCTGGCCGCAGCCTCTGACATGGAGACGGGGACCCTCCTGCCCGCCCTGCCATGCCTCACATGTCAGGACTGCAGGTAAACACTGAACAGGACACGTTTATACTGACAGGTTATCTGTTGTTTACCTGAAATTCACTTTTAACAAGGGGTCCTCTATTTTTATTTGCTAAAGTTGGCAACCCTACTTGGTCGCCAGAGTCCCGGCTTCCCCCTGAAGTGGGAAAGGGCACATAGAGCCACTTCTGGGGGTCCTGTTTTGTGGACCCCACTGTCAAACAGAAGCAGACAACGAAGCGCCAGCAGAGGAGGCCCACTAGTGTGGGAAATGGAGGCCAAAGCCAACAGGCAGAGAAGCCCGCCTGGAACAAGGCTGCAGGGTAGGGGGGGTCAGCAGAGAAATGACGTCTCATTAACATCCTCCCAGAAGAGGCGACGTCACACCCAGGAAACAACCAGGCATGCTAAACACACTGAGAAAATGAAAGTCTCTAAAAAATTGAAAAGAAGGTAACAGAAATGAAAAAAATTCATTAAGTGGATTAGAGGGAAATGCTGAAGGTGCCCATGAAATGGCAAACAGAAGAGAAAATCATCCAATAACAGGAGCTTCAGAAACAGCAGAAATGGAGGGGAGGGAATTACACAAAACAGTTCAAGAAACTGCCTCAGAGCTGAAGGTCAGGCAAGCCCAGGCTGAACCGGCCTTCCATGGGGCGAAAAGAGCCACACTAAAGTGTGCCACTGGGAATGCTGGCATGAAGGAACGAGGGCCTCGAGAGTCTGCTACTGACAAAGGAGCTGGCCTCAAAGCAAGTTTACTTCTCTAATCAGCAGCACTGGGAACTGGAGGACAGCAGAGCAAGACCTGCAGGATTTTGTAGGAAACGATCTCCAACCTAGAATTCCACATCCAGCCACACTGTCAACCAAGAAACAGGATCCAGTAGAGACATCTGCAGATTTGCAAAATTGCAAAATTTTCTCTTGTGTTTCTTTCCGCAGGAAACTATGGAGGACGGGCTCTTGCAAAGTAAGGGGAAGAAAACGGAAGGATCAGGGAAGGAGAGAGTGTCTGCGGGATGCCCCAGGAACAAAGCTGAGCCCAAGTGCGGCGGGCCTGCCGCTGCTGGACAAGCAGGAAGTCCAGGAAGAGACTCTGTCCTGAGATGAGCAAACCTCGGATGCTCCTGCGAGCCGGGCTGAGAACTTGGTGCTGAAACCGTGACGAGGGCACAGAGAACCAGAGCAACCGGAGAGAAGAGAGAAAACCAGGGAAAACAACATGCAGAGGGAAAGAAAAGCAGCGACAGCTGCCAGCCCGTCCGTGGTCAGTCATGTAAACAGACTTTCACACACCCCGACTCACGGGCCGCCAGGTCAGAGGAGGGATGGAGGGGGCAGCACAAGAGAGGCCAACAGGTAACACCTGCAATGAAAACAAAACGCAGGGACATGAGAATTGTATTTGATTAGCAAGTGTGAACTCAGTCTAATGGATTGGAAATAGTATTTTTTAATGAAGTAGACCAGAAAACACCTGAGATGACTGCACTGAAGAGAGGTATGTATTTTTTTTTAATTTTTCAAGTGTGGGTAGTGATACATAAAATGTATTTCTTATTTTGAGTTTTGGTCAAAAAGTCCAAAATCCTCCAATTTAGAGATATTGTAATACCAAAAGAATCATCTGAAAGGGCTGAGACTGCCTCTGGGAAGGTGGTGTGGGGAGGAGAGACTAGCTTTTTTTTCAAGCACTGTTGAACTATTACACTATTTAGATATGCAGAGGCATAACTTTTATAAAAATAAATTTAAAACAAATTAAGTTTGGAGTCAAACAGACTTAGAGCCAAGTCACGGCTTCTCAGCCATGCGACTGTGGGTAAGTTGAGGGTCCCTATCTACCAAACAAGGCTAACTACAGGCTCGCTGTGAAGTGAGAGAACTCCCAGGAAGAACCCAGCACAGTGCCTGTAGTAGAGGGAATCACTCAGATGCATCAATTACTAATTTCTTAAAAACACAGTTCTTATTCTATGATCTATCTCCCACACACCTTTTCTGGGAAAGCTACTATAGGATGGACTCCATGGAAAGGAAGGTAAACCACAAGACAGGAAAACATGGCATTCCAGAAACAACGGCTCCAGCTTTTGAGGCCATGGGTATCCCAGGTAGACTCTGCTGGTGCCCTCAAGGGCCCAGCGTAGCCTAGCTGGGCGCCAGGAAGGACTGCACAGGAACAAGAGGCACTTGAGGAGCTGGACCCAACTGACAGTTTTCAAATCCCTCCAGCAAGTCTGGGGCTGAGTTAGTGATAGAAGCACAGGAAAACACACAAAAGAAAAAACAGAACTGGAGAACAAACAGTTGTGTGAGAAGGGGACACTGGCATGCTGGCCCATGAGGCCTTGTGTGAATGCTACTGATGTTGGGAGGTGACCGTGTCGCTGTGCTGTGACTGTAAGAGGAGGGGGCACCAGCCCAAGGCGCCTGGACAGACCTGGGGTGGATGAGGAGATGAGGAGGTGGGTGAGGCGGGAGCCAACAATTCCACGCTGAGCCGCACAGTCTGACTTGGCCGGAAATTTTAAAACGAGAATTCAACTGTAAAAGCAAAGTAACAAAACCAACAAGACCAAGCAAACTGAACAGGCGTCGGGTAGGGGACAGTGCCTGGCTTCAGGAGAAGCAGGTGTCAGCCCAGAGGGCACAAGAGCCCTTTTCACGTACCCCCAGCCCCCGAGGGCTCCAGGTCAGGACCCGGTCTTGGTGGTCTCTGGGGCCCCTTATGCTCAGCAGGACTCCAGGCTGAGTCAGTCTCCTCCCTGCCCTGCAGACCATCAACGTGGGCGAGGCCGGCCCAGGTAGGCTAGCTTGTGGGCTCGTGGTGCAGCGTCATAGGGCAGTCACCCTTGTCCTGTGTCCCCAAAGTCGCTGGGCCAACCTACACTCCACGAGGCACGTGCACGATTAATGCCACCTGGCAACCTGGCTCCCCCCGACCGTGGATCCTGCCCGAGGAGTTGGCACAAGCTCATGCCCAGCCCAAGGGCTGATGCCTCCCCTCCCCTTGGCCTCAAGGGTCCTGATGGCCCTGCTGCCACCACAGCTGAGGCGAGCGGGGCTGTGGGCCTGGTGCTGCCCACTGGCCATCCGGGGTCTGCAGGGCTTTTACCCCTACTCAAGGAGGGGTCCTCCAAGGACACACACAGGCCAACCCACAGAGACAACCCCCCCCCAAAGTGGCAGAGTCGGCCGACACGTGACCTCAGGTGAGGCCCAAGGCCACGGGGCTCCGCTCCCTCTCCGGCAGATGGCCCAGCAGCGCCCTGTGACACCCAGGTGGGCTCTGGATGCCCATCCAGGCAGCGGGGAGGTTGCCCTCTGGCCTCTACCCTGGACTAACTCCCCAGGGGCTTTTTCCAAAACTCAGTCCTAGAGAGCAATATCCCACCCCTCAGTCCACCCAGGTTCCGGTGTCCTTCTGGGCAAGCTCAGCGGGCCTCGGCCACACCGGGGAGGGAGCCTCTCTCCAGCCTCTGCCCCACGCTATGGCCCTCCAGCACCTTCGCCAGCTCCCTGAATGGTGGGGAGCGCTACTCACAGCATGGGGTTTGGGGGGTGCACGTAGGTGTGTGCTGTACCCTGCCTGGTGCATCTGAGGTGGCCAGGGCCCGTGCCCACCCTCCCCAGGGCCTGGTACCCAGCCTCACGTCCTCCCACGGGGCCGGAGTCTGCCCGGCTCCTTCCGGGCCCACGGTGCGGCGAAGACATCCAGGCCAGAAGACTCTGCTGTGCACCAGGTACGGAGCAGCAGAGCCATAAAGCTGAGCTCACAGAGGTGCCCCAAGCTGGGTTCAAAAAGCAGATCCCCAGCAAGAGCCCAAGACCACCCTCATCAGCTGGGCCCTGGATGGGGCCTCCCTGACTGAACCCATCCTCTATGCACTGCTGGACGGGCTGGGGAGAGGGGCAGATCACAGGCCAGAACCACATCACAAAGACGAGCCTTTCACTGAAGGCTGCCCCGTCAGTGGCTATCAGGGCTAGAACTGGGGAACACCAGGGAGAAGGGGCTGGGGGAGGGTGGAGGCACCACAGGGAAGAGAGGAGGGGCTGCAGAGTGAAAATAAAACCCCAAAACTGCCTTCTGAGGTTGTGGTTGGACCCGAAGCATCCAAGCCACAGGCAGGGTGAAGTCTGCACACCCAGGCCGGGCAGGGACAGGCCATCAAGGTCCAGGCCCAGCAGGGCAGGGAGGGGCAGGGACTGAGGGGACCAAGTGGGGCTGGGCTGGCTCAGGAGCTGACTCGACAGGACCCATGACATCTGGAGCAGGAGCCTCGACCACAGCACCACTGGCATCTGGGGCTCATTATTCTCGGGCAGAGACTGCCATGTGAACCGAAGGGCATTTAACAGCATCTCCGGCCTCCACCCATCATTGTCAGCAGAACCCCCACTGTTTTACAACCAAAAATGTCTCCAGATGTGGCCGAATGCCCACTTAAGAACTGCTGCTCTGGAGGACTGGTGAGTCCATGTGGCCTGGAGCCCACGGGCAGCCTGCCTCCTGGGGGCCCCCCAGCTGGCACTCACCCCAGGGTGGAGGAGGCTGGAGCAGGTGCCCGGGATGCCAGGGCCCTGTGGTGCTCTGCCAGTTGGCAGCACCCAGGCGTCTGGGTCTGCGCCTCTTGGCACAGGCCGGCCGGTTGCACCCCCAGAACTTATGGCCCCAGCCAAGCTCCTGACCAAGGCTTTGTCTCCAGACTTAGCATCCATTTCTCCTCCCACCAGCCAGGGAAGGGCGGGGTGAGCCACGGGGCAGCTACCGCAGCGGGGCTGGAAGGAAACACTGGGAGCAACTGGTCAGCAGCCGTGGGCGTTGGCCAAGGGCATCACTGGCAGGCTAGGCCCTGCTGGGAGGCCCAGAGGAGCTGGGGCCAGACTTGGCACCAGGAGGGCATGGTCCACTCCACCCCTGAGGGCCTGGCCCTGGGACATCTGCCCCACCCACACCTGAGGAAAATGAGACCCGGGAAGGATGCCTGTGATCCTAGCTGTCCTGGTCCCCAGTCAAGACCCCAGGGGCTGCCAGGAGCCCAACAGCTACCTCCTTGTGGCCACCAGTGGAAGCCATCCTGCCCCCTCAGTGGCCTCAGGTCCCCTCCAGTAACAGCCAGCTTCACCCTCCTCATATCCACCACACACGGCCCATCCGTGAGTCCATCGTCCCTGATGGACAGGGACCCACCTGGCTCACTGAAGTATCGGTGTTATTAACACCATTCCCTCCGGCAAACTGCTGGGAAGCCCGAGCCCAAGCCCTCCCGAGATCTGCCCAATGGGCAGGGAACCCAAGCCAGACCCCAGACACATCTCTGACAAAAGACAACAAGCTCCCACAGCCCCAGTGCGCAGCGTGACAGGGAACCCAGCAACAGGAGAGCTGTGGCCCTCCAAAAACACTGCTCCCCAGGGCTCAGGGAAGACGCACCTGTCTCCCCTCCTTGAACCCAGATGTGAGAAGTGGAAGAGATGCTAAGGATGAAAGCAACCCTCACCTGAGTTCATGGCACTCCGACCAGTCTCCCCACCGGAAGCCTAGCCCCGCCAGCCCACATACAGAGGCCCACAGGCCCCTCCAGGCCCCCTATTAGGGACAACAGGTTCCTCTCCATGCAGGAAGAACCTGGAATCACTGGCAGTCACTGGCTGACGCTAAGGCTCCGGGCTTCTCACCAGCACACTTTCCATAGCCAGCCCAACCTTAAACCTGACAGGGCAGGCCACCCCTACTCAGGGACCCAGGAAGTGGCAGAGGCCAAGAAGCCCACAGCAGGCAGGCCAGAGGCCCTGCAAGGGGCCTGCAGAGCACTGTCTGCCATTAGAGCACACAGTGCCTGCCCTGCCTCCCTCCCCTCCCCACCTCTCCAGTGAGGCCCTCCCTGACCCTGAGCTGTGCAGGTCCACTTACAGAACCAGACAATCCACAGCTGGCTGCATCCGGAACCACATGGAGGGCTGACTACAAGCTATAGTTGGGTTTTCACCCGACTGAGAGTCAACTGTGTACCCTAATGACATTGCCCCCTCAGTCTGGGCACTGAGACCCTGCTTGTCCCTCAGCACTTTTGCCACCTCCATGTCATTAAGAGTCTGCACTGAAAGCAGGGCTGGAACTCTTCACAGCTTCTCCCACAATGTTCACTCATAAACAGTGAGACCATCATTCCCGCAGGCCACGCACCAGGACAAGGGTCAACTTGGGGAAGGGACTGCCACTCTGCCACTCAGAGCCCTTGTGCCTCCTGCAATGCCAGAGGCTGACGCTAGCCTCAATCCCAAGACAGCTCAAACCCAGCAGAAGAGGGTCCAGGCCAGCAGAGACAGCCGAGTTCTCAGAAAATTTATTACAGTTGGCAGCAACGGGCGGGGGAGAGACACTAGACTCATTTGCCCTTCAGGTAGATCTTGGGGGTCTGCCAGCCTGTAGGGGCTTCCTTCAGGCCCGCCTTCAGCCAGATGCGCCTCAGGTCTCTCTCGAACTTGATCTGTGAGGGCAGAGGGAGGGACCACCTACAGGTTTGTGCACAGCCCTGCATCTCAACCACTGTGCCCAGCTCTGGGACGAGGGCCCCACACTCACCTGCTTCCGTTTCAGGCGTCCTTCCCTGACCTTCCGCCGCAGGAACCGTGTTCTCTTGACTAGCTTGCGGTACTTGTGATGATTCATTTTCCGCCGGCGGATCTTTAGTATGTTTTTGCACTGCATCTGGGGTGCCTCCCACACCTCCTTGACCCCCTGCTCAGCCCCTTCGCCCACGTGACTAGCTGGACATTCATAGAGTTGGGTCCCAGGGTCCAGTCTGGGCAGGAGATATCGGACGGTCAGCCAGCTCTCCAAGGGGCTGACAGACATCTTCCTGGGGACCAGCATCTCCTCAAGTTCCAGGTGAACCCGCTTGCCAGGAAGGGAGACAAACCCACTTGGGCCTGTTGGCTGTGTGCTGTAGTGAGGCCGGCAGGCATAGCTGCCCAGCACCCTCGAGACAGGCCAGGGCCGACTGCACCCTGCAGGAAACAGGATGGCACAGTTACCACTCCCAGGGTCACACTAGACCTGTGCACGGCCATGGGGCCTGACCGGGACTGGGGAGCAAAACCTCCAAGGCAGACTGGACTGGACCCTCACTGACATTCTCAGGCCCAGACATCCCCTCTGTAGGGCCTGGATGTTTAGAGAGGGTTTGTGTGGCCAGGCCCTCGCCTCCAACTGGTGACGCACGTTCCTAACCCACGTGAGTATCCCGCCCATCTGTCCAGGAGGCCTCTTACCTGCCCGGGGAATAGCCCTGAGCAGCTGCGAAGTCAGGCGAACCAGGAACATGGTGTGTGTGTGGCAGCGGCCCAAGGTGCTCAGAGGAGCTGGAACACAAGTGCGGCCAAGGTCACCCTGGGGACTCGGGTCCCGCCCCCGACTACAGCATCCCATCACCCTCACCACCTTCTCCTAAGATGAGGACGTTACTTGGAGCACGGCTCCCTCCCTCAAAACCCCCGCCTCCGCCGCTCCCAAGCTGCACGGCTTGAGCCTCAGCTTCACCTTGAGGCGTCCACCGCGCGGGCGGTGTCCAAGCTCGGGTCCCAAGCCCTGAGCCGCCCCCACCTTCCGGCCGCTGCTTTCTCAGCTGCTCCTGGAGCCCGCGATCCGCGTCCTCACGCAGACTCTCCCGAAACCCGGCCCGGCGATTCAACCGACCATTCCGCCGCCGTGCTCAGCACTTCCGGTCCTTCCCTAAACCGCCCCCAACTCCGCCGCCAGCAAGTTCCTACACCCAGCGCCCCCTGGCGCCACGACGGCGCCTGGCTCCGAGTCTGCGCAGACCTCGCCGGGCTCAGAAAGCGATGGTTTCCGTCTGAGGAGCCGCCCGCCCCGTCTCCACCCCAACCCCTCCCACAGCTCGGTAGCTCCGCCTGGCCCTTGGGAAGGCTAGAAAACTACATTTCCCACAATCCCAAGGGGGCGCTCTCCGCGCCTTCGTGGTTCGAACTCACGTCGCTCCCCGACAAGCCAGCGGCCCGTAGACGGCCGGAAGTGGCGTTTCGGGTCTGCGGAAGGGACGTTATAAGGGCGCCGGAAATAGGGTTCGTGGGGCGACGGAAGTGGCCGGAGATACTGCGCCTTGGGCAGCGGGTAAAGGACAACCAGCTGCTGTGCTCGCAAGGCCCGGCCTCCCTCCGCCCTGGCCCCCCTCCCGAGGATGGGAGGAAAGGTGGCAGACAAGTGACGGCGGGTCGGCCCTGGGTCCCCCAACCTGGACACTAGGAGTGCCGTGCGAGGCGTAGGCGGCAGAGCCGGGCGCCGTCAGGGAGGACTCGGGAGATCTCGGGACCCGTCGCCCCATCTCCTTGTCTTGCAGCCTCCTCTCCGCCAGTCCGGATAAGCGAAGGAGACCCCGCATCTGGCGCGGGATAGATAAAATGACGCTTTTGCATAGATGTATTCTTTTTCCTTCCTTAAAGCAAACAAGTTTCTATCCTATGACTGTGGAAAGTTTTTGTCCAAAAACCAAAAGCAGCCTGCGTGGAGCATGAGGTTTGCCTAAGACCCAGTGTTGCTCCTCAGGGTAGGGAGCTAAGAGAGTACCGTGGTACCTGCCTAGTCCAGAAGGCTCCTTGTCCTCGCTGAGGTTGGCTAGGATGGGCAAGATCCCGAGTGGACCAGCAGGGGTGCCTGGTAGGAGAGGGATGTGTGAAGAGTCCCATTGGCTCTGCTCAGGGACTTGCCCTGTAGGAGGGTCTTCCGGTGAGTCTTAGCAGGAATTGGCTAGGCCTGGCCACCCCCAGGCCCCAACCTGGCTAAGCAAGGGATGGATAGGCCAGTGGGAGGGCAGAAACTTCAGGCTCCAGGCCCAGGTCTGCAACTGTCACTATGCCCTAATGTGGGAGGGATTGCTTCTGGCTCCCAGGTAGGAAGGTCTATGAACATGTCCACAGCCCACCTCTCACTCCAGCTGTATGGCCTCCCCAGGCTTTTATGGTTTGGTCCTTAAGAGTGAGCCACCAAATGATTATAAATCAATAAAAAATGTTTAAAAAAAAACCTGTATTAAAGATGCCAAAAAAAAAAAGTGAGCCACCTGCAAGGAGGGCATAGCTCAAGTGGTAGAGCACGTGCTTAGCATGCACCAGATCCTGGGTTCAATCCCCAGTACCTAAAATAAATAAATAAACCTAATTACCCTCCCCAAATAGAATAAATATAAGTAAGGGAAGTTTAAAAAAAAAGTGGACCCTTGGTGCTAACCCTGTCGGTTTCACATCCTGGCTGTACTGACCTCAGGCACCTTTCTCTAGGCACACTGGCATCAGGAAGTCCATGCCTCCCACCTGCACAGAAGTACTGGGGAGAGCTGACAGAGGCTCCAACAGCCCTTGATCTGCATGGAACCCACGCAGGACCAGGAAACAGCCCCAAGGCCCACCGTGCCTACCTGCACCACCAATCCACTCCCAGGGAGGACACCTCCAGGGGTGACACTCCTCCAGGTGCCTTGTTCCTGGATGCTGCCAGCCTGACAGACACCTGCAATGGGTTATAAACCAATGTCTCTCAGGCGCAAGGGGGCTCCGAACCATCTGATCCTTTTCAAACCCTCCCTTCACCCCAAGGGCAGCAGCCTTTGTCAGAACAGGCAGACAGCTCAGACCCATCACAAGCCTCACAGAAGAGCAGGCGCATGGAACTCAGTACAAAATCCAATACTTTAATGAGATCAGAGGCGGCAGCGCAGACGCACCACTAGAACGGGTACCGCGGGCCGTGCATGGTGACAAGCAAGCAGAGCACAGACTACAAATTCTTTAACGTTCCCAATGTCCTGAGTAGAGAGAATTGTGTTTTTCAACCACGGAAAATGCGTATATAGGAAACTTCTCTATTTAGGAGCTGGTGGCCTGCACTCAGCATCACACAGATAAAAATATATGACTTTCAACACAGATCTAAATACCTTCACATTTTAAAAATCAAGAATTCTCTACACAAGTTTTAAGCTGACAGAATTCAAGTTCTGAGTTTTCATATATAGCTTTAACTCATACTGAACACGTTTATTTACAACATGGACAGAGAATAAGGGGCTGTTAAGGCCGTTTTCTCACCGTGAAACACTGCGAAGTCCAAATGTAGGTACAACCTAATATAGGCAAAGGTTCAAAAAGTCATTTTCTCGGTTTGACGTAATTGGGCCTTGGTATGGGAGTGAAGGGACAGTCTCATTAGCACCAAGCCACACCACCAGGACGAGCGCACCTGCCTTGGCTTCCGCAGGCACAGGGCTGTGCTGCCACCAGGTGTGGGCTGGGCCCAGGCCAACCCAAAGGGCACCCGGCCGGCCTCTTGACTCCATCTCCAAGTTCATCGCAAAGCCCAGCATCAACACCATTTCCACGATGTTGCGGCCCAGGGCCGGTCACGCCGAGGTGTGCATACCGAGGGCCAGAGAGCAGCCCTCAGTGAAGACCCCACGCCTCACCTGCGGTGCCTGCTGTGCCCGGGGTGGTCCCGCTCGTAGCGGCGGCCTGCACGCTCATAAGACCGGGACCGCTCCCGCCGCTGATCCCTACAGTAGTGACTTTTCTTCTTGTACTTTCCTGAATTGTCTGCCCGCTCCCGTGAGCGGCTTCGGGAGCGGGAGGAGCTCCGGCTCCGAGATGCGTGAGGCTTCTGGGCGGAGTACTTGCAGTCCTTGGACTTTCGGTAGCTCCTCACCTTGGAGCCTTTGTAGGGAGCACCTCGGTGTGCCTGTCTCGGTGGGGAGTCACTCCGGCTTCGTGAGCGGCTCTGTGACTTGGACCCACCAGATGTGGAGCCACTGTCACTTTTCCTGTGCAGGAGAGTACCGTCAAGCCAGTGAGCCCTGCCCTGACAATCTCACCTCCTAGGGAAACAACTTCCCTCCAGGAGCAACCCCCGTGAGCCCAGCAGCACCCACCTCCTCTTGGGAGAAGCAGATCGCGATGGGGACCTCGAGTAGCTCTGCTCATGACTCCCGCTCCGACTGCGACTCCCGTGCCCCTTCGGCAAGCTGCGAACAGGGCAGGAGCAGTTCCAGACGTGGTCGCTCCAACAGCCCAACAGCCCAACAGCCCAACAGCCCACCAGGGCACTTGGGTACTCACCCATTCACTGGGCTATCCACCTTGGCTTTCTTTACCCCCTCCATTTTCCTCTTGGCATTCTTCACAGAGAGCGGGGAAGGCTTGCTTCCTTTCCCCTCTTTGGGGGACTCTGCTAGAATTAGCACGATAAGTTACAACCTGGCCATCACACAATTGTTCTGGTGGGAACTGGCTAGCCAGGCAAGACTGGCTTGTGCTGACTGTGACTCCCTGCTCCCAGCCCAGACTCAGAACCGCAGGACACAGAAAGGCCACAGGCCTCGCTTGCCTCGCTTCAGGGACCGGGGACTGGGCATCACGCTTAACTCTAGGAGCTGACACCATCTCCTGCCCCAGATTTATGAGAGTTTCAGCAAAACACAAACTAACTGCATTGCAGAAAGCCTGTTCACATCCCTTCCTGATGAATACAAAAACCAACTCTCCAGGAACGCCTGCCTCACTTCAAACATCACCATGCGCTCATGGGGACGCTGGAGCCTGCAGAGTGCTCAGATTAGCTGCGATTCCCAAAGGAATCTGAAGGAGAGGATCACCCCCGCAGGGAGCAGACTCATACCCGACACTCACCCAGCTTGGGGGCAGGTGAGAACCGTGACGTGCTGTCCAGCACCTGGGCGCCGCCGGGGAGGAGGCCCTTGGCCTGTGCCTTGGCCTCGTCGAGGGCATGCCTGCGCTTCTCCACCTCACCCTCCAGGTGTGTCAGGTCAACCTGGGAAAGCCAGAGCCCGCAGTTCAGAACCGGATGCCTCTAGTCAAACACAACCAACATACTACATGAAAAAAAAAAAACCAGAACCTTCTTGCGAGTATAGAGCTGCAGGATTTTCAAGCAGATTTCTTGAATTTCTTCTTCAGTTGCTCCAAACAAAAGGAACCAATGGGGACGATTGGGCAGAGGGATCTGTAAAGACAAATACCACTGTGATACTCTCCTTCAACGCCAACAAAATTCTCAGGGTGCTACAACACAAGCCTGCTGGACACCAACAAGGAGGCTTCTTGTTGGCACCAAGAAGCCTGATTTGGAGTACATGACATGAAAGTTTACTGGAGGCTAGTGAAAGCAGCAGACTGGAACCCCCCGTGGTGGCCCACTGACCTCCAGCGTCCGGGCGGCGAGATAAATGCAGGCACAGGCGATGCTCTCAGGCTGAAACCTCACAAAAACATCTGTGCGCAGGCTGTCATTCATGTAATTCCTGAAAACCAAACGCAGGAAGAATTGCAACACCCCAGGGCAGCCCACGATACCCATCTGCATCATCTACATAAAGTCACTACTCCCCTACGTAGTCTACTGCCAGGCCTTAAAGCTAGACAGTCCTGGGAACCTCACAAGTTCATGGAGAAACAGTCCAGCTGCTTTTTCTGAATACAGGACAGGAGGACAGGGAAATTACTGAAAAAAATTTTAAAAGCTGGCTGAATGTCAAACAACACGTGTTGCTATAAAAGAGAACCGAGTTTAACTTTACTTTTCCCTCTCAACCTCTAGCCTGCTCTCATGCAAAAGTCAGTGCCTCAGAAAGATGTCTACTGTGGCAGTTCAACGTGTTTGATTAAGGAGCCTTAAATGCTCAAAATCCGTAGTGCAGAGAAACATGCAAACTCAAAAGAATGGGCTGAGCACAAAGCCTGCGAGGGCCTTTCTGAGCCAAGAGGTCCTCTTGTGTCCTTTTCCTTGAAGAGGTGTTCACAGCCTGGCCGCCTTCTTCCACACGGAGTCCACTCGCAAAGGGAAAACGCCCGTGGGTGCACGGGAGCGTCTGCAGAGGAGGGCTCAATGCCCAGAGGGAAACCCTCTTCTCAGGGTTATGAAAGAACTGTTTCCAAATTGTCCCATCTCAACAAGGAGTCTTAAAGTGAACATTCATAAGAGCAGATAAAAGAACAAAATACAAGTTTCATCACAGTCAGTACATTTTAAAAACTTTATCGTATTTTAAAACATACAAAAATACAAAACACTTGCATTTTTTAAAAAGTTAAAGAGTTTTAAAATTGGCTACATTTTCAACATTTTCATATAGATATATTTCTTTAAGATTTACTAGACCGAAATCAGATCTCTCATTAACTTTATCAACATTGCAAAAACAGAAGATCAATTCCACAAGAAAACAGCTGAATAGGTCATATATCTAGTGCTTACACACCCCAGTGACAGGCACACCCCCAGGTGAGCCATGTCATGCTGGGATCTGACTGAACCCCCCCACCCCAACCCCCGGTTATCTCTGCCCTAAATCCCAGATAAACTGATGTACAAACCCAAGGAGAGATTTCTCAGTGATAAATTCTACATATGCCACTGGCAGCACCTGGCTCTGAAGCTCTGCTCCAGGAACCAAGAGGTGACCAAAGAAAAGCCAGTGTGATGGTGCCAAGGCCAAATGTCCCAGAGAGTTGCAAGTAAACAAGTTCAAACATTTTATATAAACATAACCATCAGTAACTTTTGGGTTCTAATAAAAAAATATTTTTAACACTCAAATAGAACTTCCAGGTTCTAAAAAAAAAAGTCCTCAAAACATATACTTAACTGCTATATTTGAAATAAGTTACAATAAAGTGTCATGAAATTATTTAAAGATGCACACCTTTTACTAGAATGTGTCAACACTTAGGTGCTGGAAAGAGTAACTTTAGCACTTCCAGAAATAATAATATCCTCCCATACTAAACTCTGAGTTCCCATCAGCCAATTTGTACAGCTTTCTGTAGAGGTTTTTGTTGTTGTTTTATTTTTTAAAGACAAAGGTATTGCATCTTTATTGCACAGGTATGGCAGTTTTAAAGGACAAAATTCAAGTCAAGACAGTTATCACTCTAGTCATACAATTACCAAAGCACGACAGGTTAACAAGAAGCACAACCGTCAGAGCCACGGCAGCAGTCGGCCAGCACTACACTGCCGCGCGCACACCACCGTCTAGAGCCGGCCTTCGGTGGAGCCTGCACTGGGTTGGCTGAGGACGGCCGCTGTCCCTGCACCAAAGCGCTTGGACAGTAGAGGAGAAGTCTTAGTCACTTACCCTCAGAGGCTACCCTTTGATTGAAAGAGTACAGAAAAGAAAAGTCAAAATAGGTTCTCCATTAGCCACGGCACAGCACCAGACAATTCAGGCAGCATAACTACGACCCTCACAGACTTAACTCCATGGAAACTCACAAAGCACCCAGCACTGAACTGCCACTTTCAGGCCCCTTTCTAGCATGTGCTTTGTTACCATCAATCCCCAAACTGCAGGGAAGCTTTATAACCCCTCCTTCTCCCACAGGACTCTCTTTAATGGAAGCAGTTAAAAGCAGTTTCACAGCAGATATGAAACCACTAAGTCCAGGATGGCACCTGTAAGGAAGACCCTAAGGTGCCAAGTCAACGGCCCCCAAAGGGAAGCCACTGACCGCCCTCCCAGAGGGTCGGGGAGGGGATGGGCCACCTTACCGTTACACCAGTGCCTGTTATTTGGGAGGCTGGTTGGAATTTACCCGGCAGGAACACTGGGCACTCGGACAACTCTAGCCCACAACCACGTCATGGGACTGACTACCCCCTGCCCAAGCGCCTCGCATCAACACACTCCTGCACTGCCCTTGCTGGTCTCGTAAAGCAAGGAAGGCCAACTCACCATGAGGTCTGGACCAGGTGTTGGTTACGCTCACACTCTAACACCTGAAGGTACATAACGATTATCTGGAAGATACGGGTCAGGCAGTTATTACCAAGAACCTTGGGAACCCAGAATTCAGATCTTGAGGGCGTCCATGCAGCAAATAAGAGCCTCAGGCTAGATCCCAGGGCTGGCTCCTGGTCACACGCCCGCTGCACAGCTCGGCTGGAGGGCAGTTTCTGCAGACGCACTTGCCACCTGCTTTTGCAGCCAGGCACCACGAAAACGCGTGAGGACCTAGCTGCACCGTAGTTGGTCCTGCCGGTGCACGGCTGATACTCATTCTTGTCTTCGACACATTTTCCACCAGGGAGCTTAGCCTGCCCTGAACATTTCCGTACCCCAGTCGCCAACAAAACATGGTGTGAAAACACTTTCAGCAAATGAAGAAAAAGCTCTTAAATCTATGGGGAGTAATTTACCAAGAATTTGAATTAATGCCAGAAAGTCACACAAGCAAGAGAGATATGAGGAAACCGCCAATAAAAGGGGGATGGAAACTTGAAAATAGCACTCTTTAAAAAAAAACAAGCCCTGTGTCTGAGTGTAACGTGGAAGGTACACGCGGCACTGCATGCTTCTAAACCAGAGCAGCCTGCAGCGCCATGTTAGTGCATTTCCAAATGAAAGGGCCCAGAATTCTCCAGTTCTTCCATAACAAGAAATAAAGTTAACACTAAAGCTACTTTAGAAAATTATCTGTTGAGAAAAGAAAATGTAAACTGACAGACTGCATTTTTACAGGTTCATCACTATTTCTGAAAGCTCAAACTTAAAAAATGTAATTCCCAAAACTCTTAAAAACACACTATTAAAATTATCATGATACAGGAAGGCTAATGAGCAAACAGTCATTTTCAGATGAGAAATATAAACTGGAAAACCAAGTCAAGGACATTCAGTCCTCTTCAGTTTCTAATCTGCGTAAGAATAGAGCAGGGACTCAGGAGGGCTGACGTGGCAGCTGGGCTGCATACCCACCTTGTGAGGGTGCTTCACGTGGACACAGAAACCCAGCTCTTTGAGAACCCGCCTTTCCGCCTTTATAATTTGATTCTTTAAGTTAACGTAATCTTGATCTAACAGCAGAGGCACAGGCTTTCTACAAAGACAAAGCACGTGGTCTGCATAAGGGTTAAATGAAACAGTGCATTAAGTCCCATGATTACCCCCAAGCAGTGACAACCAACTATAAACACAGTACAGACTTAGGAAGCTCACTTCCTCTAACTAACAAAACCCGCAAAGTCTTCCTCAAGCCTAAGCTACCTACTCGCCCGTCTCCACAATCCCCGCATGCTCTGCTTATAGGTGATAAACACGGACAGAGCACAGGGAGGGTCTGCCAACCTCATCGCATAAGGACCACACGTCCTTCGCGAGCTCAAAGTATATGTATGTGTTGCAGATGAACAAAAAAACAAAGAAGCAATGGAAACAAAACGTTTAAGCAGCTGAGACTGTGTTTTACAAAGGACTCCCGTCAGTTTTAGGATGGGAAAGTCGAGGCCAAGGTCCAGGCAGTGGTTCTCAACAGAGGGCAACTCTGCTGTCCCAAGACCACACAGTGATGTCTGGAGAAGTTTCCGGCTGTCACAGCTGAGGGAGGAACTGTTAGCATCTACTGTGGAGGCCGAAGAGGCTTCTAAACATCCTACAAGACACAGGCCAGTTCCCACAACAAAGAATCATCCAGCCCAAAACATAAACTGTGCTGAGGTTGAGAACCCAGCTTGAGAGCATTCAGAGCCTGACGTGGGCAAGCCAGGAGACCAAAACTGTAGACACAGTACCCTGTCCCGCTACCCGTGGCCCTTCACTCATGAAACAGTGTCTGTTGGACACCCCCGAGGCACCAGGCCTCCTCTGGGCACAAGTTTAAGACTTCACACCCCTAAGTTTGTTTCAGGAACATTAGTGTAACTAAATAACCGTAAAAACAAGGGGATGAGTGTTCAGGACAGCCCTGAAGACTCACTTTTTCTCTCTCAGGTGCCGAAGGCGATGAAACACATTGATGACATCCCGAATCCGTCTTGGAGCCTCTTCTATTTTGGAGGCCAGGTGAACACAAGCCATCGACACGTGCTGGAACGTAAGCAATGCAACATACAGACATTTCCAATCACGAGTCTCCAACAGCTGAAGAAGGTCGGTTGAGGGCAAAGAGGAGGTGTACGCTGAGAAAAAGGCCACTTAGGAGAAACCCCGCTACAGCACAGGAGACTTCCCAACCCCTCAAGTACAACACTGCGACCACGTTCTCCTTCCTCTGAACTACCCGGCAAGACAACTCCCCAGCTTTTCCGTCAACACATTTCTGTGGGAAACAACAAGAGGAAGCCCCTACCTCCATGGAATGCTTCACAAAGGACTTGGTATAAAAAAACCGCTGGAACAACACCTGCCCAGTAGCCATAGCCACCTACAAAAGAGAAAGATTTCCATCCTCTTCAAACGCATAATTCAAGGACTTCGAAGTTAAGTCACTGGGTTTCAGAAGGCCCCTGACAAAGAACCAAAAACTAAAACTTCTTGTGTGTCCACAAAGGCTCTTCCCGACCTGCTGCCCTGCCTCCCTCGCCACCTCTGGTGGGCCGTAGCAGTGAAGCTGGGCCAGCGCTAGTCGCGGGTCCCGGATGCCGGGCGGAGACTAAGGGGTCGGGGTCAGGGGTCAGCGCTGGACACAAGTCCCAGGC